TGCCAAAGGAGATCATTTCTAACATGAAGAACACCAAGAAGGTTTGGATCCCGAAAGGAAAGTGAGAAGTCCGATGGATTTCGGGGAATTTGGAGACTTGGCAAAGTATGGGTGCATTTCATGGGGTGCATCATTATGGACAAGATAATTGCCAAGTGGGTTAGTGAATACTATGGACCCAAAATCCCCTTTCCATGTTATATAACTAGATTTAATTTCTTATAATTTCAATTAACATCTAGTTCCTTTTCATGCCTAGGTTTGCATTTGCATGTTTAATCTTTTGTCTTGCATACACTAGGTATATCTTATGGTAGGCTTGTTCGGTTTCACTCTTAACCCTTGGAGCAAACTTACATGGTTTAAATTGTTTAGAAGCACGACACATAGCTTGTTTTACAATTGTTCATCTAATATGTGCCAAAGTCTAAATTGTAAATAATTTCTCCCGAATATCACTTTCGAAAATGATTCTCATATTCATGTGATGTCATCTTTCCAGTGGTATTTTTTATTCTAAAATCAATGTGCATGTCTCCTACAAGTATTCCATACTTGTGTGCACAAATTTAAGGGGAGGTTACTCTATAAGTTGGATGCTTTGAGACTAACACATTTTTAAGCTTATCATGTGTGTAGTAGTCTCATTGTAAGAAAAATGAAGTTATCGGAGTTAAGCATCATACTTTAAATATCCACCACCTATTGCAAGTGGTATAAATCAAATTAGTTTTCACATGTGGTATTTCTAAACCGATATCATCATGTTGATTTCACTTTGGCATTTATATGCTTTCTCCATGCATTATATAGATTAAACTCTCTTGAGCATTAATTTGCCAATTATGCATAAACTACATTCTCCATCATATGTATGCATATATTTAGGGGGAGCTTAGTCTATGTAATGTGAGAGTTAAATTTTATGACATATTCCACTCCACATACAAAAGATCACAAAGTTTAACCCTTTCTTGTGCTACTAATGTCTTCCTTTTCAGTGTTTGATTCCAAAGGGAGAGAATTTGTAGGACCAAAAGCAAGTCCGATCATAATAATTTACAAGTGGTAATGGTCCGAGAAAGGGAGGATAGTGGATTATAGAGTTAGGGGAGGCTTAAATCCATAATGCCATATGGGGACATTTGCAAAGGCAAGATAAGTTTCCAAAGATATTTACATATGGTATCTTTTAGCATCATATAATCTTGCCATTTGTATTGTATCCTAGCAAGTAAATAGTTTTTTAATTCCAAATTTTTTATTATTTGCTTACTTTGGTCGTGTTGTCATCAATCATCAAAAAGAGAGAGATTGTAAGAAAAATAAAACCTAGGGCCATTTACTTTGGATTTTGGTGTTTGATGACCAACAGAACCAAATTAGACTAATGAATTTACAAGTAATTGTTTTGTAGTTCAATAGGGTGCAAGACGTGACTTGGATGAAGGCGACATGATGATCCCATGATCAACACCATAAGCAAGACCCTAGAAACACAAGAAAAGACCCAAGATATCAAGCAAAGTCCAAGCATGAAGATGGAAACCAAGCCGGACGCAAGATCGTGAAGAAACGAGCTCGGTAGAGGTGACCGGACGTGGCCCTATGAGGACCGGACATGTCCGATCAGTTGCTCGGCAACAGCAGGCGTCAGCAGCAGTGACCGGACGCATAGGTGACACTGTTCTTTGTCACGGCAATGTTTTCAGCGTGATAGGACGCGATGGCAGGATGACCGGATGTACCAAGAAGTAGCGTCCGATCATGTCTAGAAAGGTTCTAGAGCGGTGCCAGCGCGACCGGACGCGTCCGATCGAGTGAGACCGGACTCGGCCTAGAGTCCAATCAACGCGCGTGGTCCAACGATCGGTAAGACCGAACGCGTCCGGTTAGGACGATAGTAGCGTCCGGTCACTAGCAGAAACATTGATTTTGATTCCAACGGCTAGTTCTCTCATTTTGGGCTATAAATATGCCTCCAACCGATCAAGACAAATGTGAAGAGCTGAGAAAACATATCAATGGTGTTGATATACCATTTTAGTGATCTCCACTTATATAGTGCTTAGTGATTCATTAGGTGATTAGCGTAGGTGCTTTTACGAAGTGCTTATGTTGATTAGACCACCGCTTATGCGATTGCTCTAAGTTTAGGCCTAGTGTTTTGTGAGGTTAGTACATCTCTTATCACTTGGTGTTTGCGCGCACCATTATTATACATCGGAGGGACTTCGTAGTCTTGCGAGATCACACCAATCGCGTTTGTGGTATGGCCGTCACCGTGTACCGAAGGGAACAAGGCCCACGACGGTTCGGTCGAAAGCTTGATAGTGAAGACGGCGGGGAGCGGTCCGGGAGAGGCTTATCGGAAGGCACACCGGAGAACCACTTACGCGTGGGGAAGGCCCGGGGTATCCACGGAGTTATCCGACCGGGAGCTTGGCCTTTGCGAGGAATTCCTTACGAGGGGCTCCAACGAGGACTGGGAGAAGCTTGAGCGCTTCTCGATACCTCGGTAAAAATATCGGAGTCATCGACGGGAGTTTGTACCTCTACCTCATCTTTACCTTCCGTATTTATATTGCTACCTTGGTTGTGTGCTTTACTTCTCTAGCTTAGTTGATAAGCTAGTTGATAGGATTGGAACCTATGTTGCATCACTCTTTTGCGGTAGAGGCAACACACCTAGCAAAATCGTAGTTGCACATTTAGATAGATTACTTTCCTGCATAGGTTTTGACTAGGTAAAATTAGAGGCCTTAGTTAGAAGTAGAATTTTAAGTTGCCTAATTCATCCCCCTCTTAGACGTCACGGTCCTTTACACCGTGTATTCCTATTGAGGTTTTTACTTATGTGCCATTATAAAAGTTAGTAATTATCTACAAGCCATTAAAAATTTGAGTTCTTACAGGCGCCACTGCTCCGAACTCTTTTGCCATTCACGCCACTTCCGTTAGATTTGGTCTAATAGTGTCAAACTACGGGTGTAAAAAGTCAAAAATACTTTCGGGTCTGAATATGCAATTAATTTTTAGCATCTTAATGATCTCAAATAAAAAAAACTCAAAACTAGAAAATTATATATCTCATCGAGATCTACAATATTTTAATAAAAATTATCTCCATTTGATTTCGTACAAAAATGTGATTTTTTAAGACATATTAATCATATCAATTTATTTTTTTTATAAAATTAAATGAAGATAATTTTTATACAAAAATTGTAGAGATTGTCGAGATCTACAACTTTCTAGTTTTGTGTTTTTCGTTTGAGGTCATGAAGATGCTCAAAAAAATTAATTGCACATTCAAATATGAGGGTATTTTTGATTTTTCACACCCGCGGTTTAACACCGTTAAAGCCAAATCTGATGGAATTGGTGTGAAAGACAAAAAAGTTCAGAGCAGTGGCTCCTGTGAGAACTCAATTTTTTGATGACTCATGTGTAATTACCAACTTTTATAATGGCACGTGAAAAGCTTCATTCGTGTTCCACGCGGGCTCGGTCTTTCCACGTCGGACATGTTCCAAATCCTAATACTAGACCAAGGCCGCCGTGTTCTATTGGCGGCGCTGGAGTCCGGCGGAGCGGACGAGACGATCGGACAGAGAGGCTAATGAAAGAGATGACTGATGCACTGTTGTACAGGATGAGCGAGCACATAGGATGGCTGGTAAAAAAAATTAATCGTTTACGGACACCAGAAAAAGATGAGAGATGAAGTGCATGTACTAATGACTCTTCAACGGCACGGGCAAGTAATTTAGAGCTCGGTCACCTGCCAGCTGCTATCGTCCAACTTTTTGGGTAACACTAAAAAAAGATGGGCCAAGCCAACTAAATTGCGGTCCAAGTAACCATAATTATTTAACAACCTCACATTGAGAAATAAACAAAACAAAAATTATAGATCTTAAAAGTTATACAACTTTATAGTTTATAACTTTTTTATTTAAAATTGTTTTGATGTCAAAATATTTGATTCAGAAGACTGTATAGAGTAAATAACAAATGAATTCATATGCTCTGTAGTCACATGTAAATGTGTAGTGTAGTGGTAATGGTAGGGAAGGATCTCGAATGGAGAAATGACCAGAACAAAAGTTGTGGATCTCAAAATGTTATACAACTTTATAGTTGATAATTTTTTCATTTAAAATCATCTATCCAACAAAATTACGTTTGAATGTCTCACATTTAAAATTTGATTTTTTTCGAACAATCTTGGATGGAGAAACGACCAAAACGAAAGTTGTAGGTCTCGAAAAGTTATATAACTTTATAGTTGATAAATTTTTTATTTGAATTCATTTAGAATTCCAAATACTTATTTCAACACTAGACGAACATAGAACAAATATCTCAAATGGCCAGTGCCTTATGAGTAGAGTGGTTAGGGGATGAACATGAGAAGTCCGGGGCCGTGCTTCGAGCATTAGCCTCTGCGTAGCACGCGCTTTCACGTGTGAAAATCATGTGACTTGTGAGTTTTTTTTTACGACTTTCCTACTGCCGGGTTACCATTTACCATTTTGCTAATAAAAGAAAAGGGAGAAACGACCAGAAGTAAATATTTTTAGCCTAAATTTTGTCTTCTGCCACTTTTCTACTGCGGGGTTGTCATTTTGCTAGTGTATCCCTGATAATAAAAAGGCAAAATTTCAGGCTTTTTTTTTCGTCGAACCCATTCAATCTAGGCCCAACCGTCGGCCCACTCACTCCCGCGGCGTTCCTTCGCTGTCGGCCCGCTCCTTCCTCACGCCCGCTCCCCTGGCTTCCGTCCTCGTTCCGTCCCTCACGCCCCACTCCCCGTGATCCCGCTCCGTACTCCCATCTTTCTCTCGATAAAAAAAAGGCGGCCGTCGAACATGCCGCCGCCGCGAGCTTCCTCCGCGGCCGAGCGCTTCCCGTATTGCGGCGCCTGCTATGCCTACACCGGCTACGCCCCGCCGCTGTCGCCTCGCTCCATGCAGCGCGCCGCATCCGACTCCGGCATGGACGCCGACGCGCAGATCGTCGTCGTGCGGGCGGCTCTTGTGCCCCTGCCCGCCAAGCCCGCCGCGTTAGCTGGCATTGGCGGCGCCGTGCAAAGCCGCGGAGGCGCGACGGCACAAGGCGAGGTTTTGTCTGAGCGAATCGGAATCGGAATATAGGATTGGAATTGAATCCGTCGAAGACTCCAACTCCTATCCTCCTATCACATAAAACAATTCCAGGGTATGTTGGACATGAACTCCAAGTTCGAGTGTTCGACTCGAATTTCTTCCGTTTTTTTGCTACTTATATATTACTGATTTTGGTTGGATCATTGGGATCTCGACGTGCAGAAGAAGTTCCTGTTCTCGCCGAGCAGAACAAGTAAACACGTCACCTTCAAATTCTATTATCGCCGAGAAGAACAAGTAACACCTCATCATCTTCCAAACTCAGACCTCGTCGAGCTGAACAAGAACCAAATCTTTCTGATTTCGCCGGAGACACTATCAACAAGGTTAGCTTTCTCACTGATTGTTCTTTTGTACCGATGAGTAGTATTAGGTGGGATTTTTGAAGATTAGTTCATTAGTTCATACATATTTTTCTTGATTGGATCACCATGAAATTGTGTTCAGGCTCTCCTTCGCCGGCATCATAGGCAGCGAATTGGAATTGGAGTCTGATCAAATTGCGACTCGAATTAGAGAAGTCTCAGGCACGTCCCTGGTCAGAGAAGTCCCATGTATGTCCGATGCGAACTCCTCACTAACAGCAATGTTTATTTTCCAACGCGAACTACATCCTAAAACGGATCCCACTAGCTAATTCATTGACCCTTTTTACCTAGCTAGCATATGTGATAAATTGAATTTTATTGGCATCGACGACTATGGGCAGGTAACTTAGATACTAGCTGCTTAGATAAATGGTCTGAACATGTAAACAGTAGAAGTTGATTACTCCATTTTCATGCAGGAGGTGATATCAAGCCCTGGTCTAGAGAATGTGGACAATGATGAGTCCATTGAATCTGGTGGTGATGTTTATCCTGATTCAGTTTAATGAACGATACAAAAGCTTACATATACCTTTTATGATTACTGAAAATAGAGTTCCTGATGAGACCAAACTGATTCAGAAACTATATATTAGGAGTACCCGTTAGCCAACTATGCTGCAGCCAATAATTCATTATGGTCTGTTCTTAAATTAATTTGGAATGAAACATTCCTTACTATATGACCATGTGTATGTAAATTTCACCACTGATAGCCATATTGTTTTGAAGGGTGTGCCTGTGCTTGGCTATCTATTCTGGACATGTCAGGGAATAGGCAGATGGCTATGGTCCCAAGTTTGGGATTGTAGCTGTTGATCGTGCTAACAACCTTAGCATGGAAACCCAGGCCTTAATACTATTTATTCTCCAAGGTGATCTCTGATTTCAGAAAATTATACAGTACCATGTGTATCCATTTGCCAAAAAGTATAAAACAGATTTATAATGTTTCCGCGGCTTATTCATAGGTCTCTTGTTTGGCATCGAATTGTCTAGACTATGTGATAACTTAATTTTTCACTCATTTTCTTTTACATATTAGCATCTGGTATCTCTATAGTTTTAACAAAATGAAGGTTGTTACGGCTAAGAAAATTACAGGACGATCTGGGTGCTTTGGAGGGAGCTGCAAAAAAACAACATTTCAGAAGAAAAAAGTGCCCTTTTTTAGGGCAGTAGATAAACATGGTCAGATGTATGCAGGTAAATGTGATTCTTTCTGAAACATTCTTAATTTCTGATTATTATTAAGTCAACATTATTCATGGGTAATGGCTTAGCTTGTTTCACTTAAACAACTTGATAAGTAGTATAAATAACAACTATTGACTGGTTTTAAAATATGCCAATGGCTACTGCCTTCTCTTTAGGCTTATTAGAGTCGAGGGTGTGATGCCTCCATATTAGTTTTCATTCAGTTGGGTTACATATTTACCAAATGGCATATAGAGAAAAAAACCATATGAAATAGAAATTTTAGTTGGTATAAACTGTGGTTGCTATCTCCACCTATAAGCATCATGCGCCTCTTGTTCTTTAGTGGTCTAGATTGGCATATTCAGAGATCATTCATGTTGTGGGATTGATGGTTTCGTCATTATGAAGTGGAAGGCTATACTTTAGATAATGAACTCACCAAGATAGTCATTATAGGTAGAGAACAAGTTACCATTATTTAAGCCTAAGCTTGGTGATTTGCGCTTGGAGACTATCATGATGAGTTCATTATCCAAAGTATATAAACAGTTCTGTTATTTGTATGTAGTTCTTTCTAACTGTATGTTAAATTTCAGCACTTGGGGGTAATATTCTTGGTGACAGACTCGGTTTGCACCTTGCAGATGTTAAGCCACAATGAGACACCCTTCTTCTACAGTTTGGTGATCAGTAGTGCCAAATTACTGAAATTTATTGGCAGCTCCCTATATCTGTTCATAATCAGCACCATTTTTGGAGTAGCCACAAGTTTGTCTCCTGCTTCTTCCTTTAACTTTGGCTAAGTTCCTTTCTTACATCAATTGATCGTGATGTTTCCATTATGATGCTAATGGTTTCTTTATCTTACATTCTAGCTGAAGTGAGCACCCTGTACTATGAACCCATGTAGATATATTTGAGAAAAGCATAAATGCAGTCATAATTATTATTTATCAGTTGCTTTTTATGGCAGTTATACTTGTTTTGAGTGGCATTCAGATGATGTTCTTGGGTGGTATAATAGTGTCACACTATACATGGCACAAAGTAACAGAAAGTTGGTCACAGCCAAATACACACTCCCCTTCCTCTTCATGATATTTCACAATTATCGGGTGAATTTTTCTGTCATGAGTGCTCCATGTTCCTTGGAATTATGAGTTGCCAGCGACTATCGAGGTGATTTGGGGTTGGGTTGGGTTGGATTAGACAGCCAACAGCTCTAGGAAGTAGTAATTACTATAGTTTTTAAGCACTTTTTGTTGATTCAAGAATAAAACTTATGTATTCTAATGCCTAACATACCAAAGAGAATTGTAGCAATTGGCACGAGCATGTGTGAACAAATTGTATGTCCCCATTGCAACGCACGAGCACATTTGCTATAAAACAAAAGAGAGAAACCACCAGAATAAAAAAAATTCACATGTATAGTATCAAATCATTTTTAAAAAAAACATGGGGACTTTTTAATAAATGTTAATAAAATAAAAGAAACGAGACTTTCCAAATGGAACGAAATCATCTACAGTTGATAAATACGACTTTTTTCTCTGCGGTTCTCATCCAAGCCGTTGATACTAGATCCAAGGGTGAGCTCCAGAAAAGTAAACTAATAGGCCTCAAACCGGTCCAAGTGAGCCCATCCCACACCATTCTTATCCCCTCGCGACTCCAACCTCCGCCTTCGTCGTCGCTCGTTCCCCAGGCCGTGCGGCTCCTCCGTCGTCGTCGGGCACCTCACCGAAGCGCCCCGGTGCTCCTGTCCTCTTCTGGCGCCACATCGGATCGGGCGCTGTCGTCCTCGCCAGGCGAGACGCGCGTGCCGTTGTTGCTGGCCGTCGTTCCTCTGACTCTGTTGCAAGCACCAGATCGGCGCATCGGCTCCATCCTCTCCAGGTGCGTCATCAGAGCGGCGCGGTGCCCCCAACCTCTCGTCACCAGATCGGCGCGGCACTGGACCAGCGGTGCCGCCCTCGCCAGGGGCGGAGCGCGCGCCGTTGGTGTCGGCGCTCGTCTCCCCGCCACCACGCATGAGCCTCATCGCCGACGAAGCTGCTGCGCCGTCGACACCGTTCCTCATCATGCCGGCGTTTACCTTCCCGCCATCGCGACGCTCAGCCTAGTGGCCGCAGATGCTGCCGCCTCATGGCCAGCGTGCGTGGTGGTCTGGACTCAGGAAGATGCTTATTACTGTAAAATGTGCTTCAAGATGTTCTGTTCTGTAGATCTTTAAATCTTTCAGTGCTACCATACTGAAAATGTTAACAAAATGTAAATTATCACTCAATAGGAATTAGCACTCATTGTAAGATGACATTGGTTTGTATATAAATGTTTTGGAATGCATTTGTGAATGCGATGCACAAAAGTTGTTGATCATATGTTTTTGTCATCTAGCCTGAAACAACATTGTCACAAAAGCTACTAGCAGACTGCTGAACATTACACTTGAAATACAGAACCAGAAAATATATGAACATGATGACATTGCTTTTGGTGAGCCATATATTCCATACATGATCTGTACTACTAGAATTCACCAATAACACCATCTGTCATTGATCCCTAAAAATAAAAGAACAATAATTCAACATCATAGCCATGTATGGTTCAGAGAAAAGGTTTGTTACTTTGAAATATTACCGTCAATAGTTCAGAGAAGGTATTAATGGCCATGTATTGTTCAGAAATCCCTTCCTCGGACAAAGATGACATTTGTACTGCTGCGCCATCATCGACCGTCACTTGTATAGCTTCTTGCTCCTTCAGATTAAAGAGAATCAAATAGTTAAATAGAATTGAAACTTTTACGGTGGATACAATTAGAGAAATCTGATATATCTTTTGTTGCCGGATACCTTTGAACATTTTTCTTTTTTCTTGCCATACACCTTTGAATTTTTTTTCTTTTTTCTTGTCACACACCTTTGAACTTTTTTCTTTTTTGTTGCCTTCCTTTTTTTTTATAAACTTGCGCTTCTTGTCAAGCCAAGTTTTTTTTCGCTTCGAGTTTTTTTTGTTTCCACCTCCTTTTTCTTTAGTCTTGTTGTACTCAATAATTCAGTGGTTGGAGTAACATTGGTGGGAACATTGATGGGATCAATAGGACTTGCAACACCACTGATTTTTTCTTCAACTTGCTTGCTGAGCATGTCAAGTGTGTTGTTTACTAATAAGGTGCACTTTGGATGGCTGCCAGCTCGATGTGCCAAATGAAGAAATTTGCGAGTCATATCTTTGTAGCGAAGCATATCATCTAGTTTTGGATTTTCTATTATGTTTTGGCCTTGGTTGTATTGTAATGTTCCACCTGTGTCCATCTCTTCAGTACATATTTGTGTAGGAAGTATTTTAATATTCATCAAATCAAGGACTTTTAGAGCATGACCACACAGTATTCTGATTCTATTGAATTGCCCACAACTGCATGTACTGATTTGCTTTAAAGGATCACCATTAACTTTGTACTCCTTCTCAAAGGTAAAATTTTCATTAAGACTCCTAATTGCTACAAGATATTCATTTTCGCATTCTAATGCTGTGGTGTATGCTACCATTGACCTCTCATACTCACCTTGAAAAGCATCAAAAATATGTGGTGTGTACAGCTTGCTAGCTTGGATTAATATAGGTGTCCTCGTTTTGATTCTAGGTAATTTTTTTTCTTGATTCAAATTTAGATTGCAGTTCGTTCTTTCTTTTATATTCCACAACCCTTTCAAAATACTTAAGAAATCGGATTATATCAAAATCAGATTTGAAATGTCGCTTCAGGTCACTATTTAGACTCTCACTGAGTTGTGTACTTCTCATCCCTAATGTGAACACATCCTTCATGTAACATTCGGCCCATTTTTCTCTTGCCTTGTATATACTATCCAACCAAGTTTGCTTTTTCGCCTTTGATCTTATGATGTTAAATGCATCTTCAAATGTTGCTTCATCTTCATACTCATACATATACGCATTAAAATTAGAGAGAATACTTGGTTCATTATTGTTGTCTTCTACTTCCTGTTTGGGAGATGCACCCGATTCCTCATCATCTGGTTCAGCTAGATGCTTGATAGCATTCTGCATAATGTGAAAAGTGCACAAACCATGCCATGCTTCTAAAAAGACTTCCTTAACTGCTTTTCCCATTGCATAATCTTGATCAGTATATATTGTTTTAGGGTGCTTGTCATTATGAGCTCTCAGGAAGGTCTCAAATAGCCACTTAAAAGATTTAAATGTCTCATCGTACATGAGAACATCACCAAAAACCACTGTTTCCTTGAAATGGTTGAACCCAACAAATACGCCAAAATGCCTACTCTCCTTGTTTGTACCAAAAGTAGTATCAAAACTGACAATATCACCAAAATATGCATAGTCACTGAGCATTTTAGCATCAACCCAGAATATGTTTGTAATCTGTTCTTTCCGGTCCATCTGCAATGCATATTGAAATGATGGGTTCTAGGCAATTTTTTCCTGAAAATACATAAGCATGCTTCCTGCTTGACCATATGCCATCTCCCGTTGCCACTTACCTCGTAAATAGTTCTTGTGGTCTTGAAAAGTGTAACTGAGATTAACTGAGCCACCAACTTAGATGCAAGCCAACTCATGAGCAGCTTTGGGCCCAATTCCTTCATCGTCAGCCGTCTCAATTTCAAAACGTTGTAACTCTGAAATTTTTCATTGGGACGCCGTCATGTGTGAGGTTTGTGCCAGCTAAAGGGTACGATTATGTTTCAAAAATAGATCAGTCACTTTATAATTTTCTTTTTTCTTGTCCATTATAAGTCCCATGTGAACTTGACAGTTAGTTCTAGTTTCAGCTCTTGGACATTTTATTAGATGATTTCTTTTATCTGGCTTTTTATGACCCTCATTTGCACAAACATATCTACATGAACTAACCTTCCCATCTAACTTTCTTTTGTTTGTGTACATTTTCCTCACCTCAAAGCCTTTCTGACTCCCATAGCTAATCCAAAACATCCAAGCCTCATCTATAATGCTGAACTCCATTCCAACTTGAGATAAAAGACTAGAAAATAAACCATCCCTACAAGAAAATAGGTAAAGATGACATGATATTAGACGGCCAACTGAACAACTACAATCTATTTCCAAATTAGTTGGACCAGAAAAAAACAATCATGGCATTACACACCTATTTTCTTCCATCTTAAATATGGAAATTTTATTTTCATTCAAACAAGTTGATGTTCCCTTCAAGCTTCCGTATCAAATCTCCTTCAATCGATCAATTTCAGAAAAATCCAGTGACGGAGGACAAAAAAAAAATCAAATTAGAACAACACTTTGACGGATGACTTTAATTTGAAACCGGGTGAAAAAAAAATCAAATTAGAACAACACTTGACAAGTCAAATTTAAGACAAGCGAACGGAGCCTTTAAGTACAGAGCAAGAGATGACGTGAGTGCATAAGGCCACCTGCTTACCAATCGAGAGCACCATAGCAGCAGAAATCTGATCCCGGCGCCCGCCCTTTTCACTCTCGCGCCAAAAACATAGTCCCGGCGCCAACGCCAGAACTAAAATACCGCTGTTCTGTCGTACGTGAAGGGCTGTGCTGGCATTGGGCCGAAGCCCAGCGAGCTGAGGGGCAGCGCATATTCTCCTGATCACCGTTAGATAGGAATGAGCGGCCATATGTTCAGCAACCGTAGAGAGAAGTTATGTGGCAACTGCAGACGATGTCGTTCCGTTCCAAATAACGAAATTTCTCGTCACTCGCCCCTTAAAGCCCGAAAGTCGAAAACTCCCAAGTCCCAACTCCTCGCTCCGCCGCCGCCTCCCCTCCCCCTTCCCTTCTTCCGCCGGTGACACACTGACACCGCTTTCCACTACCTGCCCCGCCGCTCCACCCCACCCCACCTCGAGGGCTTGAGCGCACCACTACCTCTTCGGCACCCAACTAATGGCTCCTGTCATCCCGAGCTGCCGGCACATCGCTAGAGACGATAGGGTCCCTTCGGTCTCCGCCTCCGCTATCGTCGGCGGCGCCGGAAGCGGCTACCACGTGCTCAGGATCAGAGACTACTCGAGCATCAAAGTCGCCTTCCCCAATGGAAGTCATTTCGATTCCCACCCCTTCCGCGTTGCGGGGCGCACTTGGGTTATCCGGTACTACCCCAACGGCGACCGCCCGGAGACCGCCGACCACATCTCCCTCTACCTCCGCTTCAAGGGCCAGGTCGGGCCCGGGGAGGAAGTAATGGCGCAGTACGTGTTCAGCTTCATCGACCAGATGGAGATGCAGAAACCGGCCTTCGTCGGCAACCTCGAGGCGCGTAGATTCGGCACCAACGGATCGTGGGGATATAAGGAATTCATTAAGAAAGAGAGCTTGGAGCAGTCGAATCGCCTCAAGGATGACTGCTTCTCGATCAGGTGCGACATAATCGTTGCCGGCCTGCCACGCGCGGAGGCCGCCACAGCTTGACTGCTTCTCGATCAGGTGCGACATAATCATTGCCGGCCTGCGACGCGCGGAGGCCGTCGCAGCTTTCGTCGTTGCGGTGCCGCCTCTCGAGTTGCCACAGCATTTCGGTGCTCTCCTCCTAGCAGGAAAGGGTGCCGATGTGAGATTTCTTGTCGGGGGCAAGACATTTGCCGCGCACTGGTGTGTGCTTGCTGCACGGTCGCCGGTCTTCGATGCGCTGCTCTTTGGCCCGATGAAGGAAGGCACCTCCACGGAGAACTGCATACGGATTGATGATATGGCAGCTCAGGTGTTCCAGACCTTGCTACATTTCATTTACACAGACTCGCTGCCAGAGACGATAGAGCAAGATAATGGTGGAGCCACGATGGCACATCATTTGCTAGAAGCTGCAGACAGATACGACTTGCAGAGGCTTAAGCTGATATGTGAGGATAGGCTATGTCAGCAAATTGATGTGAGCACGGTGGGAATCACACTTGCATTGGCTGAGCAGCACCGCTGTTAAGCGCTTAAGGAGGCATGCTTTGAGTTTCTCAAGTCTCCTAAAACACTGGATGAGGTCAGCGTGACCGATGGATTTCAGCATCTGGTGAAAAGCTCTCCTTCTGCCTTGTTTCAGTTGATGTCGAAGCTTGCTGAACGCTGAACTCTGGAAAGCAAATGAAGGACATGGACATGAGGATTTCCGTGGATCAGGGATGCCAACTGCAAGTATCCAGAAAGACTAATTAGTTGGTTTCGCTATCTAATTAATACTTCTAGTACTAGTACTTGTATGTGAATATGCAGTCATGTCCACAAAAGGATGCGATGTACCTGTGCCTTATTTTGTTTGGTCGTCATATCATTTGTGGGCAGCTTTTAACTATGATGCCAGGAACATGCTAATGCGAGAAGCAATTAATTCACTTCTAAGCATTTAACTTAACCTGGAAGTTCGTTATGATATTCTATGATTGCCTTCCATCACCGTAATTTTGCAATTTTCTATTCATTTTCGTTGTTTTGTTAGCAGGTTGGATGTATTTTTGTCCAGCATAATGTTTCATTTAGGTCCAGATAGAGTACAATTAAAGAGAGGGTGCTATTTAGTGATGAAGAAATTCTTCACTCACTGGTATGACTGCTATATAGAAGATTAACCATTCCTTTTTCTATGCCATTGATTGAAAACGACAATCTCATATATATGTTGATGGACAATCCTGGCACTGGTTATGTGCTGTTTTGCCATTTTTATATAGAATAGTTATTGCATAGCAGTACAAAGCTATACTTGTTTGAGTACGCTGATAATGTATATTTTCCTGAGGCATTTTGGAAAGGTCATTAATTTATTACTTGTAATAAGATTATCAGATGTTGGCTCGATTCGTCACCACATGTTTTCTTCTCCAGCTGCAGCTCTTCAACTTGGTTTTGTTTGCCCTCTTGTTAAGCATTGTGTGTCAATTGTTCTTCTATTTGGTCATGGAAGTTATCCTGTAATCAGTTAAAACATAAATTAAATTAGGCATATGATAACATAATGATTTGTCCTTGGTTCCTTCAAGAGTTTCAGTTGTCATTGCTGAATTAAAAACCTGAATGTGCAAAGAAATGGGGTGTCAAATTTCAACAATGCCCAGAAGGACAATTTGGTGTTGTTATGATACTCGAGCTTTTTTCTTTCCTTTTATTAGTTTGATTTTAAATGAAAATTATCAGGTGCTACTTCTAACATTCATAAAAGGATGTGGTCTTTTTGTATGGTTGTTATGACATTTGTGTATATATTTTTAATAATATTTTGAGAAATGCATGCTATTGTGATCCGCAATTGGTTCAATTATAAGCCTCCAAATTGACATGAAAGTTCGTTGTACTCCATTATTTTTTGTTATCTTGTATATGCTTAGCATTTGAATTAGTTTTTGCAATGCCCTATTGATACTCATCATATTGTTAGCTCTGTGGATGCGTTTTTGGTCAACATAATGTTCATGCTGGTTTAGTAAGAGTATTATGATTAAAGACACAATGGTAATACCCAGGGAAAAAGAGCTAGCTCGCTTCACTCTCCAGTTAGACTACAATAAAGAAGGCTTAACTTCCTCAAAACATGCCTCCACAAAGTGTCGATCATATACAGGTACATCATTCGACTATCCTTGCTCTTGCTAGCACTACTGGAGGCCGTGGCTTTGCCGAGTGTTTTTACACTCGGCAAAGAGCCCTTTGCACTCTCGGTAAAGCCCGCTCGGCAAAATTTTTCTCGGCAAAGGGTCTTTGCCGAGTGCTTTTTATCGGGGCACTCGGCAAAATAATTTTTTTTTTGCCGAGTGTTTGGGGCGGCACTCGGCAAAATATTTCGGCCGTTGTGGCGCCGGCCGTTAACGGTTATTTTGCCAAGTGCCCGACCCAGCACTCGGCAAATTTTTTTTTAAAATCACTTTGCCGAGTGCCCCAGCCCAGGAACTCGGCAAAGTTTTTTTTTTTTAAAAAAGTACTTTGCCGAGTGCCCCTGCCCAGACACTCGGCAAAGTTTTTTTTTTATTTTTTTTAAAATTACTTTGCCAAGTGCCCCTGCCCAGGCACTCGGCAAAGTTTTTTTTATTTTTTTTAAATAATTTCTTTGCCGAGTGCCCCTGTTTAGGCACTCGGCAAAGAATTTCTGAATTTTTTTAAAAAAATACTTTGCCGAGTGCCGCGGCGAGGCACTCGGCAAAGAAATTATATATATATTTTTTTTTGAAAAATCTTTGCCGAGTGCCTTGCCCATGGCACTCGGCAAAGACCCCGAGAATTGCAATTTTTTTTTACATTCCGTTGTAACAGACAATATATATATATATATATATACACACACACATCAATCATCACATCTATATCACCAACATGCATTATATATCACAAGCACACGCATATTTAATAAATCCATCGAAAATCCATTACAAATGCACCAAAGTTCAACATCACAAGTTTATTATTACAAGTTCAACATCACAAAGTTCAACATCCCTACTACGGCGACGGAGACTGCAGGTGTGGCCCCCCGAACTGCGATGAAGGACCGGACTGCGGCGAAGGGTTAACGCGATCAGCCACCGGTGACACGGTAGCGGGATTGTTTGAACCCGCCGACGGAGGCTGCACAAAAGAGAAGAGGCCGCCACTTTTTGCCGAGTGCCGCGACACTCGGCAAAGCCCAGTTTTGCCGAGAGCCAGGATTTACCGAGTGCCTAGCACTCGGCAAAGCCACTTTTGCCGAGTGCTTTATTTTGCCGAGTGCCCCGATAAATAGCACTCGGCAAAGTCTCAGGCACTCGGCAAAGTCCAGTTCCCAGTGGTGTAGTGTTTGATGTCTTTAGTGTTCTCATGCAATGATGCAAATTGTTGCATATGGCAGCATAATCTTATTCATTGTCCATGTTTTCGAAGAACATGACCATGTAGATTTGGCATGTGCCAACTTGAGAAGGTTATTATCCCCTGACTGAACCATGCAATCAAATTTTGACATTATTCTTCATCTCATACTGTCTCCTCCAACTATCGCTGCTCTAAGCACCATGTGTCATTTCTTCTCCCCTGTATTTTGTCATTGCAAGATGTCCTGTAATCATCTTATTGAAGTATAATATGTTAAATAACCACATGTTATAACTGCTGTCCTATTTAAGCCAGACACGGACTAAACCAAGTCAGGGTAGCATTTAACTATTTGCATCCATATAACTGAGGTGATTTAATATTGGCATCCATTTTTTTGTTTTCGTTTTTTTTCTCCATATTTAGGATATTTCCCAGTGTTGTTTGCACTGCTGTTCTTGTCATTACTGCATGCTGTTGAACTAAATAATTGGATATCCGTCTCATGAAATAATTACATGGACTGACATGCAGGAGACAACGTTCATGTCAATTCAACAATGTGGATTCAGTTAAGTTGCTGCTTGCAGTGTACATTTGCTCATTGTTCAGTAAATTGAGGTGTAATATGCTAATATGGAAACAGTGAAACATCTTGGGGCGTTTATTTTATCACTAATTGATCGTATGAATATGATTTTTTTAACGTGGGTAGGGTACAATTAAAGATAAGCGTAAATGCTAAGTGAATAAGAGTTACTGACTGGCAGATATGATTGCAATGTAGAAAATTAATTTCATGATTCCTTTGTTTGAACTTAATGATCTCAAATGCCTGTGACTGAATTACTTCCTGGCACTTGTTTATGTCCTGATATATCATTGATTTCTTACGAATTATTTCATAACAGTATAAATCTATTCTTTTGTTTTTGGTGAGGCAGTACAACGCTGTCCACTTTTGAAGAATCTGTGTGTACTTACTTTTTCACTATGTTGATTTTACACATTGGAATGATCCAATTTGTGAAAGTCATGAAGTTATGGCGTGGAATGTGATTTTCAGATTTTTTTTTTTGATTCAGTGATTTTCAGATTTTTGACTCAATTGTTCAGTGTTCACCACATCTTTTCACGAACACCAGGCAAGACCTTCAGCTGGGTTATGTGTCAAATATTCTTTGTATGTCACTGCAAAATGTCCTGTAATCAGTTTACTAGCGCAGTATGCTGGCATCCTAATCATAGAATGACGGTAGTTTCTTTGACCTCCCGAGTTCTTAGCATTTCAAAGCAAATCAAGGTAACGGATAACATGTACTGATATGTACGTGTTTCCTTCAAAAGTTTCAGACCTCCTTAATCGAACCTGATGAAGATGACCGCATCATCAGTGTACATAGATGATCACATCGTCAGCGTATATGGAAGTCTGTACTATACGTTTTTTTTTTTGAGGGGAGTCTGTACTATATGTTGATGCGTGTAGTCGTCTGTCCTCTTCCCAGGCCCAAAGGCTACTTAGACCCATCTAGAAAGCCCAGCCCAGCCCAGCTAGAGGAACCATCAACCATTTTGCCAAGAAAGGAAAGTAGGAAACCAGTCCGTGAGCGGTCCTTTCCCCTTCGTCGTCTCCACAGAGCACAGAGCAGTCCCCGACTCCCCGTTCCCCCCTCCACTCTGCCTCGGCGCAAAACCCTCTTCGGCAGATGGAGCGACAGTGCAGCCGACTCCGACAACCCCCTCGTCTCCAACGCTCTGCTGTGTGTCACCATCTTTCTCCATCGTCTCCAATTCACTACCTTTAATTTGTTCTTGCTGCGAGGGAAGAATAGGCAGGTGGATCGGAAAAACCTCAAATTTGCCCGGCCCTGATTGCATTGCAGGCTCGCGCAATGTCGGTTTCGGCCTTGTCGGTCGGCCGCAGCAGCGGAACCTCACAAGCCTCCTCGTCGTTCATCACCGCCGCGGCGGCCACCGGGACGCACCAGCTCAAGATCGACAGCTACTCCCTCACCAAGTCCCTGCAGCGCGGCGCCCACATCAAGTCCTCCAATTTCCAGGCGGCGGGCTACAGCTGGTACATCAACTACTTCCCCAACGGATGCGGCCGCCTGATCAAGCGCGCCCGCGGCTACCTCTCCCTGCAGCTCGTCCTCGACGGCGCCGTCGCCGCCACCGCCGGGTCCGTCATGGCGCAGTTCACCCTTTCCGTGATCAACAGCGCTGGCCTCCAGGAACGAACCACAGCACGCAAGAGTCCGGTGCACAATCTCGCGCGTGGGGGAGCGGCAGGGTGGTGGTTCTTCAAGTACATGAGCAAGGCGGACCTGGAGAGCAAATTCCGCGACCTCAAGGACGACAGCTTCACGCTCCAGTGCGACGTCGTCATCATCGACAGGTTCCGCGCGGTGAAAGCTGCTCCCTTTGTGGAGGTGCCGCCGCCCGACCTGCACCGCCACCTCGGGGAGCTGCTCTTCAGCGGGGAGGCCTCCGACGTCACGCTCCAGGCTGGCGGGGAGACGTTCAGTGCTCACAGGTGCGTGCTCGCTGCGAGGTCGCCGGTCTTCAAGGCGAAGCTCCTCGGCTCCATGAAGGAGGGTACCAGCACCACCAACTGCGCCATCGGCATCGAGGACATCGAACCACGGGTCTTACAGGCCGTGCTGCACTTCATGTACACCGACATGTTGCAGGAGGTGAGCAAGGAAGAAGAAGCCGCCATGTCGCAGCACCTGCTTGAAGCCGCGGACAGGTAATTTAGCCTCCAGAGGCTCAAGCTCATCTGCGAAGAAAACCTGTGCGGGGGCATTGACACGAGCTCGGTGGTGACCACGCTCGTGCTGGCCGAGCAGCACAGTTGTCAGGGTCTCAAGGAGAAATGCTTCGAATTCCTCAAGTCTACCGGTCTGAATGCGCTCATCGCAACTGATGGCTTCAACCATCTGTCTACTAGTTGCCCTGCCGTCCTGGAGGAGCTCACTTCCAAGCTTACTCTCCACTGATAGGTGCATGTTTCACCACTTCAGTGCATTATCATAGTCCTCGCACCAGCGCCGTCAGGAGACTTGTGATGCCACTCTGTGTCTTTGCTCTGTTTGTGTTTGGTCCTTTCATAGGTTCTAGAGAGACATTAGTTTCTCAATTGTGATTCCAAGCTACTCATTCTGCAGAACCTGGATGCTCTAGCTTACAGCATGTGTTCTTTCTGGAGGATGTTTGACGAATGCAGTCCTATGTTGCAAGGCACTCTGTTCAGCTTTTGAATTTCATTGTTTGCTGAGACATATATGTCCCTAAATTTGGTTGAAGAGATCATGCTGTTTGTTACCGCATATGTGACTGATCCGTTTACATTTGTCGGTTGCGAAAGGCTGCTTAATGGAGAAAATTGCTGAGAAATTCCTAAGCTGGCTGCATTCAGAACTAGTTTGAGATTAAATGTTTGCACCCTTCTGGTAAGTAGTAACCTGTCATCGTCGCCTGCTGTAGATGGATGACAGGACAGATGACGATTGCAAAGTGTCCACAGACGAGCAAGTGTGCACATAACCTGTGAAGTGCAAATTGTTGCTGCATTACAAGGTTACAGCTGAACAATCTGAAGAATAACACAGACACTAACAAATTCCCCTTAATCTGAACAGACCAAGACAGACAGGTCATTGCAACGAGCACAGAATCACCATTCACTAAACAACCCACGATCAAACCACAACCTAGGGCCTAAATCCAGCCGACAGTTCCTGAAGCTCCTGCAAACTGCCACAGGACCCTCCTCCTCCACTGATCTCATTACGGTGACCATACTAGGGATGATAGCTCCATCGAAGACATAAACATTCTTGTGTTTCCAGAGTTCCTAAACATTGACTGTATGGTTCCATTTCCTATACTTAAAATTCAATCATTAAATCTTATAATTCCCTGTACTCTAGTGCTCTACAGGTCTAATTTCGATAATCACATGTTTTCATGCAAATGGAATATAATTACATACAAGTTCCAAAGATTTGATGTAAATATCGGTGCATTTATGGTTTATGACTTCAATACATTTTCGGTAACATAGAATATTTGTTTTGGGTCTCCTCCAAGAACCACTACTTTTCCGCGCTTTTGGCTTTTTGTCTGCTACTATATCTTCCGACACTATAACCATTAGTTAGTATACTAATTACTAAGTAAAATGCTCATGAAGAGAGAGAAGAAAATGGTTTCTTATATACTCCCTGCGTCCCATACCTTCGGCGTGGATCTCCTCGACGGGTCCTCCCGGGAGGTGTTTCCGAGTTTTTGCGGTGAAGGATGGGCTCTAAATTGGCCTAATCTATCTCTAGATTGGTTTTGCTGATTCTTGGAGTTTGTTGCTACGTGTGATAGGTTGTTTGCAACCTCCGGATGTCTAGCCTTTGGTGGTGTTTTCGAATTTTTGCGGCGAAGGATGGGCTCTAAATTGGCCTAATCTATCTCTATATCTGTTTCGCTGATTTTTGGAGTTTCTTGCTGCGTGTGATAGGTTGTTTGCAACCTCTGGACGTCTAGCCCTCGGTGGTGTTTCTGAATTTCTGCGGCGAAGGATAGGCTCCAAATTGGCCTAATCTATCTCTAGATCGGTTTCGTTGATTCTTGGAGTTTCTTGCTGCGTGTGATAGGATGTTTGCAATCTCCGGACGTGCTGGCCCTTGGTGGTGTGTGATCCGGGATCAATTCGATTGACAATAGATGCAAATTAAATATTGTGCTATTGTTAGGATTTAATTTGTTGGCTGCTAGGATAATATTTAAAAGTTTTGTTCACGAAATAACATATTTTTGAAACTATCCTTTTAAGGCACGGGCAGGTCCATAGTCCGTCACTCCCTCCCCTGTCCGAAAAAATGCAAAAATGGGACTCTAAACACAAGATGTTTACTGGACCAACATTTCATAGACACAGATGTGCTTGAGAGTTAGAGTAAGAGTCCAGCTGCAAGAAGTATTCTGTTGCAAAGTGCTCAGATATGTACCAATACCAATAGTAAAAAAAAAAAAAACCGAAGCCCCTGGACACCAAAACCCTCCTCCCCATCGCCGCTGCTCCCTTGACTTGCCTTCCCTTCCCTAATTCCCTTCCGTCCCCTGCCGCCGCGTCTGCGCCACCTGGCCTGCCAATCTCCTCCGATTCGGACCACAATGTCGCGCCCCTCCTCCGCTGTGCCCTCAAGCTCAGCCTCCACTATCGTCGCCAGCGCCACGAGCGACTACCACATGCTCAAGATCGAGGTTCTACTCGTTCACCAAGTCCATCCCCAACGGCAAGCACATCCAGTCCCGTACCTTTCGCGTGGCCGGCCACAACTGGTTTATCCAATACTTTCCCAACGGTGATCGCAAGGAGGCCGCTGACTACGTCTCCTTCTACCTCGTGCTCATGGACAGAGTCACCGACGCTTTGATGGTGCACCTCTCATTCAGCTTCATCGATCAAGTGGATTATCAAAAGCCGTCCTACGTCCGTGGCATTAAGGCCAGCAGTTTCCTCACATCCGGTAGTGGCTTCGGCCACATGAAGTTCATCAAGAGGGACGATCTGGAGCGCTCGGGAAGGCTCAAGGATGACTGCTTCACGGTTAGGTGCGACATCATCGTCGGCGGCAAGATCCAGGCCGTGGACGCCGCCGTGGTTCCCTCCTCCGCTCCCGCGGCCCTTGTGGTCCCACTGCCCGATTGGCCACAGCACTTCCACGCCCTCCTCGATAGCGGTCAGGGCGCTGACGTGCAGTGTCTTGTCGACGGCAGGACCTTCGCCGCGCACCAGTGCGTGCTCGCGGCACAATCGCCGGTGTTCAGTGCAGAGCTCTACGGTGGGACGAAGGAAAACGACACGGCTCACCGAAATGTCTTTATTTCTAACACTTTTTGAAACTATTTTCAAATCTGACACCGTTTATTTTTTATTTTCAAATTTAACACTTTTGGCGCGATATTGCCATGGCGCGGCCGAACAACGCTGATGCGCCATGCATGGCGGCGCGGCAAAGCTGCTGACGTGGCAGCGACTGGGCCGCTGACCGTTGACGTGGCAGGCGCTGTCGCACCGCACCGCACATCTTGGTGCGGCAGGGCCTAGTACAGGCCCGTGACGTGGCTTCCTCTTCCCCTCTCTCTCTCTCCATTCTATCCCTTTCACGCGCCCGTCGCCCGTGCCCTCCGTCACCCGCCATCGCCGCCTCTCCTTGGCTCCTCCACCGCCGGCCACGCCTCCCAACCTGCCTTTCTCCCCATTCCCCTGCTGATAGGCTGGGGGTCAGCCCCTTGGTCGCCCGCGCCGCCTCCCTTGGTGGCCGACCGTTCGGCCACCGCCGCCGCCAGCGAGGACGCCGGCGGCCCTCTCCGTCGTCGGGGCTGACCCCCAAGAGCTCTCCCCGTTGTTGCTAAGGTATTCCCCCCTCCAAGACCCTCATTTTGATGATTAATTTTTGAATCAATTGATTAGTGTTAGTGATTTGGTATAGTTAAATAGTTAGGATTTAGGGTATGGTTAGGTAGTTTGGATTTGGGTTTTTGTTAGTTAGGATTAGGAGTTTAGGGTTTAGGTTATTGTTAGCTAGGACTTTGGGTTTAGGGATTGGTTAGGTAGTTAGGGTTTAGTTAGTTTGTAGTAGTAATGGTGGTTAGTATAGATACTAGTTTTCAAGTGTTGGTACTTAGTAGTACGTGATACGATGATTTTAGTGACTTGATGAAGTTTCCTCAAATGCTTTTGTAGATGGATTGTTGGGTTCGAGTTTTTTATGGAGGAAGTGTTAGGAAAGAAGATGGTATGTTTGAGGATATGGAAGAAGAATTGGAATGGTTTGATGAACCTTTTAGCTTCAACGACCTTTGTGTCCGTTTGAATGCAAAGTTTGGCGGTGATTTCACACTGAAGGGGAGGTTTGATAGTGGGAAGACTAGGGCACACTATGTCCTGATGCCCTTGCGCGACGTGCTCACTGGTCCCGCTAGAATAGGGTGATCCAAGGTTCCAATATGCCCATGGTTGAGGTGGTGGTGGAGAATGGGTACATGATGCAGGGTCTCCAGGATGGGTTGTCCATTGACGGTGTTAGAGGCAATGGACAAGAATTGGGGGTCGAAGGGAAAACAACTCAGGGTAATATGGATTTGGACGGTCAGTTGACGTAGGAGCAGTTTTATTCAACTCCAGTAGGCTGTATAAGCAATGACTTCGATGTGAATGAGTTCGAACGGGAAGAGGAGGAGGAGGACAGGATCGGTGATGTAGTTAGCAGTGATTCAGACGATTTGGATGATGACCAAGGGGGTAGAGATGCTATGCCAACACTGGTTGATGCCATTCCAGTACTGGTTCATGATATGCCATTACCAGTACCAACTGAGATACTTCATGCTATGCCGGCTCAGGGTAGAGTATTCACAGATTTGCTAGAGGATGACACCCCCTATGATTCATGGGGTAGAATTAGCAAAGCACAGCAGTACGTTCTACCACCACCTTACACAACGACAGAGCTTATGCAGCTGAGGTCGATGAATGTACCTTTCAGTGGCATTCCGAACTATAGGGATGTCAGCATGATGGATATGACAGTTTATGGCACCGGTCTGTAGATGTGTAGGAAATCATTGTATGACTATGAGAATGAAATCCTTAGCAAGGGGATGATATTCAATACAATGTCAAAGATGAAGCTGTTCCTTCAGAACTATGCTGTCCATCACCATAGGCCGTACACCGTCACTTATTCGGACC